CGCGCCGTTCAACTCGTTCAGATCGCGTAATCTTCTGCTCTCCTCTCCTCTATAGATGATGGATTGGGCTTCTATCATCTATAGAGGAGAGGAGAGCGGAAGGTTACGCGATTTGAACGAGTTGAACGGCGCGATGGGCGGAGTCGCGCCGCCTCAAATGGGCGGCGCGACCCCGCCCATCGCGCCAAACGACATACACCCGCCATCCTCGATTTGCGGTATCGATCGGTACCCACTGCTGACAAACGCTTGGATAGGGCCGCCGTCGCATAGCCGCTCGGACGCCGTTCCCTAAATGTACGTCCGTTTCCACCTGCGTGCCGGCACGCACGTCGAAGTATGAAAGCAGCCAAGGCGACCTCTGCGGCTGTTGTGGGCAACTGCGCATTTTTATTGGCACTATTTGTCCATGCTTTGAGCATGCAAACTTCGAGCGCTCGCAACTTTTTTTTTGGTAACTCATTTAGCAATGATTTTGACTTTTTATTTGTGAATAGCATTAGAAACTCTATCAATTTACTTGGTCTCTATACAAAGTTCCAAGAAAATTTGGAACCTACCCTGGTGAGAAAGGTGGGCGTGGAAACGTTTGAAAACAGTTTAGCCCATTGCATCTTCCTCGCCTTCCCCAACAAACTTTCACATTTGATGTGATATTGCATTTGATTTCCACCTTTATTCTACTGATTTTTCTGTAAAAGTTGGAGCAACTCGGAGAATTTTTTTGCTAGCAATTCTTCGAAGTCAACGTCGTTCTGCGAATAACTTACATTTCCAACAGTTTTCTGCTGTTCGACCATACTTACTTCGTGCACAAGTTTCGTAAAAGATAGGTTTTGTCCGATCGTAGCCTACTGTTTTTGAGGTCTTCATTTTTTCTAGAGAGTCTTTGCCTCTTCGGCCATATCTCATACCTGAGATTAGGCGATGAGAGGAGACTACTTGTAAGCTAATGTGGTAGTCTACAATACTTCAGTCTTTCAATGCGCTTGATAGCTCTTTGGCTTCTTCTCGAGCAGTTCGTGCAGCAGAAGATTCCAACATTTGTTCATGTTAACAACAAGCCCCTGCAGTTCGACTTCTTGTAGGAAGCCTACATTCATAATTCCTTTCAAGTAAGGAGTTTGACAAACGTTCTGAGAAGAACGCGTTTGGTTTCCAGTGCTCATCCTTCTTGTATGAGCCAGTGTAATTTAAATTTCTTATATGACATTAAGGTGGTTTTGCCATTGTATTCGCCGCGTATGATAGTGCTAACAAGTGGTACGCGTTGAAGAGACAAATAACAAAGGATCGACAGTCAATGGAAGCTGTTCTTTCCGAGATTCGAATACACAAAGAGGTTTGTGTCCGAAATAGTTTTACAACTTTTGCATTTTTTTACTGCTTCTATTATTGCCGCGTTATATGGTATTGAGCTTCATGAATTGGCTTTCTTACTTCAAAGGTAGAATTCGTAGAAAATGGTTTATTTGTTTCTCCCTCGTATGAACCTGTGACACTCAAATATAGCGTGAGGGAAGAGCCTGAGGAGAGTCGAAAAACGGCCAAGACAGGGTGTGATTGGGGCCTTAAAACTGGCTCAGTCGACGTACATACCTAAAGAAGACGAGTGTTCAAGCGTTGAAAAAACTGAAAAGGTTGAACCATTCGCACCGGAACCCTCACCTTGCGCACAGGCAGCCTACTGCAGTCAGCTGTATATAATGATGCGGCATTTTAGGGTAACGGAACTTCTCCCCGATTGCGGCATTCTCCCTTGCGGCATGCTGCAATTGTCACTGCAACTACCGTACTCACCCCGCCTCCCCGCCAATCGATGTGATGCAATATTTTTCGTCGATTGACTTTCTTTTTTATTCGTTTTGATCGTTTTTTCGCTTTCTTTTTCTTGTTTTCATATTTATTAGTCTTGATTTATTAGAATTACTCCTCCTGTATTAGCGACAATCAAGATCGCATTGGAATTGAAGGGAGCGGCCAGCCAATTCAAATAATTAAAGGGCTCCCTACCTCACAAATTGCGCGCTCCAATCTTCCATCGCAATCCTGCGATACGAGGCGGGTGCGGCGTGCGCGACGCTGCTTTCGAATTGAAGATTCCGGACCGGGCATTTTAACAGTTCGAATACCCCTTACATGCAACATGTGTCGTCACATTTCCATCCCATTCCTAGTTTTACTACTTTTTGAACCTTACATTGCTCTGAAAACTCAGCTTTTGTTTGCGTGTTCTCCGCCGTTTTTGCACTATTTTGGGCATCACTTACATTACTCGTCTAAAACTAGATACCCCAAAATTATTGAGAACTGCGCCTTTAATAATCTGTCGATCCGCACTGAATTAGTTATCTTGTAGAAGATCGCATCTAAAAATATAGGGGACTCTCCGGCGCGTGTCGCGTGCGTGTCTCTTGGCCCATTGCCAAATGTGGTATATTCGTCTCGACTGAAGTAATTGCACTGCTGCCTGCTTACGAATACATGTGTAACCCATCTTCTGAGCCAACGCTGTAACTGCTTAATTTTTGTTGATGGTGTTGTGAGGCTGATTTGCATGGGAGTACATTCATGTCCCTAAGCGCTTCATCCTTGTAGACACCTTCAGCGATCGAGTGCCCTCCTTGTATATGGGGAAGTTGTTCTATTTCCTTTAACCCCGATGCCATAAGAGCAGCCTCAAAGACAAACTTTAGGTAGAAGTAGGAGTAGTCGTATGATTAGATGAGAAGTTAGATCGCTATGAGAGTTCCAGAATAGCCTTATAGAGCTTGCAATGCAATGATAAATCTAGGAGAACGAGAGAGATACCTCATCGATGGGCAATTTGCTACCATATGGATTGTACAGAGCAAGATAAATTTGGGAGAGTGGAAATGTGCGTCAATTTGATTGCCCCAAAAAGCTATCGTAGGATTAGTGAAATACCACAGATGAGGCCCATGCGATGAAGTCATTGGATTCCGCAGAGTTCAAGTAAATGAGAAGAAGAAAAGAAATTGCGATGTGGATCAAAGTTACGAGACTAGTGCATATGCGGTGATGAGGAGGACTAGTGGACGAATGAGATTGGATTCAAGCGGATCTTGGCCTCAACACACACTCTTTTATCTCGTTTTTCAGACAGTTTTTGAGTAGACCAGTTAGTAGTTTCATTTCACCAATACCTATGCGTGTTTTTTTGCCTTTTAGGATCATAAGATTAGGACATGTTTCCTGCCTTTTGAAGTCATGACATCTGCATGAGTTAAAGCGGTAGTAATCACAACAGTTAGGTGTGAGGGTATCGCTAGTTCCCTATGGAAGGGCAAGAAGCTTTCTTATTTTCGAAGTGAAGATAGAGGGTTTACAATACCTCAGTTTGTTAACGCCACTACGACACTCGAAAACGGGAGAAGCAGAGTCAGTTGTCGCGCCTGTTCCTATTGTGGTGGTTAAATCTACATTAAGTTAAAATCGAAAAACGTACTTTCACTCCTGAAAGAGCTTGTATAAGAATAAGTAGTTGTCAGCAGCATTTAACGTGCAAGAATGCAGGGAGTTTCATATGTATTCCTGTATTCACTGGTGAAATACCTCCGGCAGGGAGAATACACCACATTCGGCAATGGGCCAAGAAACATGCACGCGACACGCGCCGGAGAGTCCCCTATATTTTTAGATGCGATCCTTGTAGAAGCTATAGTTTCAATGTAATCGGTTATCGCTTAGGGTCCTATTTTTAAATATTGTCAAACACCTCCAGAACTGAGCTAGATTTTTCCATAGAATCCCGATTTTTCTACCTGGAATGAAGCTCTACTATCGGCTTGCATCATTCTTTTTACCCTGTTTGTGCCTCCGTATATCACATGCCAATTCATGTTATTTGATGTTATCAAGGCTCGTTGTACAGAAGATAGACTGCTCGTAAGATCCTATAAGTGGTTGGAAAAAGAGTAATCCTGTGGCCAACGGCCCCAGATTCTTATCACGTTCTGTCATTGAACAGACACCTTGCTGTGATTCTGATATTTCCCCCAATAGTCCTTATAAAGACATTCGAGAGTTTATCTTAGCGGGTTCTCATGTAATCTTTGTCTAGAAAGTCTTTTTTTTACATTATTTCAGCTCACCGGTCACCCAGCCATTCTGAAGTTCATTGCCGCTGCACAAATGAAAACACCTACAGGCTGTGCCGAATTTCTGCTATTGACGGAATTGTGTTCAGGTAGGGTTTTTCGAGAAGTCGGAGTGAATCGTTCTATCGTATTGTTTACTGATCTTCCATTTCTTTTTAGAATTATTGTACTTTTATGGTTATGTGACTACGAGCTTTCAGGAGGCTCTGTTGCTGATCTTATGAGAAATATTCGTCTAATACCTGAGCAAGTGCTGAAGGTTTTCTATGCCGCAGCGATGGCCGTTTCTCATATGCATACCCAGGTGGTCCCAATCACCCATCGGGATATCAAGGTATTAATAACTTGTTCATCTTTGAGCATTTGCTCTAGTAATATACCCTTGTGTAACTTTTTTTTTCAAATCTTTAGTAGCTGGTCGTTTTCAAAGTCTCAACCCTCATTTTAATATTGAAATACTTCTTTGAGAAAGTTTTTAGATTGAAAATTTATTATTTGATTCGTCTGGTCATGTGAAATTATGCGATTTTGGGAGTGCCACTGTAGAAGTCTATGCACCGGATGAAACATGGAACGCGGCCCAAAGAACGTGGCTTGAGGAGGAGGTATTGTATAACAAGAATGCGTTTGAAACGTAAAGACTTAGTCGTTATTGGGCTATAATTACGTCCATTTCACACTTTCACAGCGCCATAGAAGGTAGCATAGTTGCAGATGCAACGGCATACAACTCCAATGTATCGAGCACCAGAGATTCTTGATACATACCAGAACTTTGTCGTCGGCCCCCCACAAGACATATGGGTGAGTTCGTCAATCGTTTCACAGTTAATTCTTTGATGTCACATTGTTTCAAGTGCTGCTTTTCATTTTCCTAAATACTTTTGCCTGCTGGTTCAAAACCTACTCCTAAAAGCGCGTGCTTTGTCGCTCTTCTATTATGCAGCTGCGCTCAATCCGATACCAGCTCTTAGGATAAGAAACGACCCCTCATTTATAGGCCCTAGGATGTGTGCTATTCTACCTCTGCTACCACGTGCACCCATTTGAAGATTCGGCTAAGTTACGAATTCTAAACGTTGTCTATACTGTTCCGAATGGTTTTGAGGAATTCGCGGACATATTACCCGTGATTGGTAAGTCTACAGAAAACAATGTTTCACCTGCTCGCTCGTTTCATCACGTTTTTTTCTTCTGGATGGTTAAATATAATAGCACTTTCTAATCCTTTTGATTTGTCTCACTTTGCCCTTTTTAAACTCTGAATGGCCTTTCTCTTCAGAAAGTTATTTTGAACCTGGTTGCGTTGTTGATTTTTAAAGTATTAAAACATTCGTTTTTGGTTCCCCAAACATGTAATTCATCAGAGTCTTGTCTACAAGTGGATCCACTGAGTCGTCCTACTGCTAAGGATCTCCTTGAACAGATAGAAGCACTGGCTGTTGCTGTTGAAGTTGATCTCAGGAAGCCGGTCTCTGACATTAATACTGGGCTGTTGAAGAAATCACAGGTATGATCTATCGGTTGTTGTTAGTGAAATTAGTTGCTCTATTTGAAAGCCCGTATCACAGCAGCCTGTGCCCTTAATTTTCAGACACAGAGATTCATAGGCGGCAGCTCTTCAAATGCATCATTGCCACATCCATCACGAGTCTCGATCATGCCTGAGGTGAACGATCACGTTTCTTTCCTTCACTTTCTTAATACAATAGTCGATCGTTTTATTTCTTGTTCTCGAGGATGTCACAGAGCATGCATCTGCCATGTTTGGTGCTTTGAAGGACCAGGGCTTGTCTCTTTTGAGAAACTTGAGAAATCGCTCTTCAGCAGTTGTGCAAAAAGTTCAGGTCAGGCATTGCTCCACTGTATTTTCCTTTCTAGTCAACGTTACTTCATCTTGAGACATTCAGGCGAAGCTTGTCCCCCAAGAGGTCACGTGGGTTACGTCTCGCATGTGTGTTGTTCCAGTCACCAGTGCTACAATAGAGGAAAGTGATGAAGATGAATGGAGTTCTCGTGTTGCTGCATCCTGTCAAGTGTTTGCTGTTTATAATTTATCTACGAGGTTAGACATTTCACTTGGATGGTTTTTTCACGTTTTCCTTGGTTCTGGAGTTTATTAGAGTTCGTTTTAATTAGTAATCCTTCATTTAGGTCACTTCGTGTCAACTGCACTGTTGAGCCAATGGCTTCTGCAATGAATTCTTTTTATTCAATAGTACCCCCATCCGTTGAAGGAATCGTAGAGGTGCTCTTTGATCGTGCTTCTGCTAGGAGACTTTTTACTCCACATTAAGGCAGTATTATCTGAAATGGTCTTTCTCTCCAAGGATTTCGTTGAGCACATTTAGGCCCCCCATCCCGAAGGCGTTGTCGGTTTTTTTTTTCCTCCATAACGTTACTAACAGCTATAAGTAATCAGCGAATGACTTTTGTGCGTAGGCTTGCTTCATAGTCCCGGTCAGTGCTCTACTTTGTTGGAACTTTGTTTCTTATTTACATTTCTTCTCTATACTCTATCACTCATGTTGCCGGTGATTCTTTACAGTGATCTATTAAATTCGTTTCGATAATCAGCAAGCGAGCGCGCCCTGAGGAAGTTGTAGTCGTTTCGCTCTTACTTGGTCAATACGTTATCCTACTTAATATAATTCGCTAAGTGTGTCTGTTGGTTTGTCGGTGTGTGTGTTTGTGTGTGTATCTGTGTCTGTGTGTGTGTGTCGGTGTGTATCTTTGACCGGAAATTAATAACTCCTGTTCCTGTGGGCGTTAACGCGTTAACGTGGTAGAAGTATAGGCGGCAGGATGGAAACACTCATGGTAGGTAGCGGGACCAGACCCCGCCCACAGGGGGCTGGGTTGCGCAGAGCAAATGTCTGAGCGGAGTTTCGTAACTTCTGTTTCCGCGAACCTCAAAAGTTCAAATTTGGTAAGATTACAGCTTTTCGTATTAACAGTGGAACCTCGGCATTTTAATAAGTGAGGTAGGAGATAATGGGATCGTAGGTACTCAGTGACAGTAACCGATGACAACTAATAAAAGAAGATAACGGGCCTAAGAGAGCAAAAGCCACTTACCGATCGAAATTTTAACCCTTCGATGTTCACGATGTAGCTTTGACCCTTCAGTGTGTTCCATTCGATAAGACGGGATGGTAGAGAAGGGTGACAAAAGTGGGCGGTGAGTGCAGTGATAGGGTCCCATCAGCGGCAACACGATAAGCAGATGAGGATTTTGTGCATTTCTTGCTATTAGTTTAGGACCGCTACCCACAAAGGTTTGTGACCCAATGAAGGATCCACGTTGTTCGATATCATTTGCGAACTCAACCGACCGCCGTTTATCTGGAACTCTTAACTAATGATATCTCTGTAAGAAAAAGGCCCATTGATCACATCTGTTATTGGTGTTATCATAACACGAAAAATTTGTCAGTTCCGCCTAAGGCTTTGGTTATCTAACGGTTGCATATTTATTGGGTATTTATTTTTAAGAAAGAAAGCAAGGGATCGAGACTTTCAATTAAGGGCGTAAGCAGCGACTTACACTGAATACCATTTGTACTGCTCTGTTAGTCCTGTGTCAAACTTCGTGTACAGAAAAATGTTATTTGTTTCAAAGAAGGAACGGAGAGGTAGCTGATTTCTACAACTCCGTCAAAGAAGGGGGGAAGCCCGGCGTCGGCCGGGCGAACCGACTGGTTATGAGATAAGCAAATAGGCATACACCTGTATTAATATTACCTGCTGTCCCGCTGATCATCGTTTTCCTCGAGCGGGCGCCAGTAACTCCTCCTTTCGTTCCTGTCACGATCCAGATCCCTGTCATGGTCCAATGAATCGTCCTCGCTTCAGGGACACGAGGTCCAACATTCCTTTCGTTCAGAGCTTTCGTGAAGAAGTATGACCATCTCGTTGGCGGCTGTCCTGGAGTTTGTTTGATGTCCCGAGGGATCCAGTCAGTAACCGCCCTGGTCCAACGGTCATCACTATATCGCATAACCTGCCCGGCCTACCTGATCTTCGATTTATTGGCGTAATCAACGGCATCCCTGATCTTTATTCGACGACGTAGCTCGGAACTTCGGATTCCCTTATGCACTTGCGTGTACAGAGGAAGTCTGAACATCGCTTTCCAAAGCGCGTTTGGTAACGCTGCAGCATGCTCATCATGCTTTCATAGGGTCCAAGTCTCCGAAGCGTACGTCAGAGCAGGAAGGACAGCAGTGTCGAAAAGGTAAAATCGGAGCCGAATGCTCTTGTCTTCTTCACTACTATCTCGTTTTTCTTAAATGCTCCTCAAGCGAGATGTTTCCTTGTGCTCCGCGCCGGCGCTGGATCGTTCATCATATTGACTTCCCGACTTAGTACACATAGCTAGAGCATTGAGATATTCGTGACCTTCAGCGTAAAGGGGGCATCAGGTAGCAATCCGTGTCTCGTCAGCGTCTTCGTTCGGTCTCATGCCGATCCTTCCACAAGCACTGCCAAACTCGGTCAGCATTCGTTCCGCCTGCTGGATGCCCGCTGCTATAAGCACGATGTCTGCAAAGCGGAGGTGATGTGAATAACGGCCGTCGACCTTCGCTCCCTTGCCTTCCCATTCCATATGACGCACGATTTCATCGAGAGCGGCACTAAAAAGTTTGGGCGAAATGGTATCGCCCTGTCGCCTCTCTGTCGATGACTTCTTCATAGAGTAGCGAGATCCTGGTGGTGAAGTTGTTGTAGAGCTCACGAAGTATCCTCATATTTTGAGTAGGGGCTGCCCGGTTTCCGATTGCCGCTTCTGTCTCAACGTTATCAAAGGCTTTTTCAAATCGATGAACGTAAGATATGACGGCATTTTACGCTCTTGCATTTCATTGAGTCTGGTAGGTGTGGATATGGTCGATTGTACTGAACCCTCCGAAACTCGCTCGCATGGCTTTCCTTGTTCTTGTGAAATGCTTGTAGACTGCAGACAGCAGGCGCTTGGGCGATAGTTTCCATTATCGTCGGAATGTCCTCTCATGTACAGCAGCACATCTTGCTAGTTTTCCACGACGTGGGCACTCTGCATTCCAACAGGTACCGCGTAAAGAGTCTAGTCAGAGATCTGGCATCACTGGTGGAAGATCCTTTAGATGTTCTGGTTTGATCTATCGGGATCGTGCGCTGTACTATTGTTCATCGACGTGGTTGCATATCGAATTTTGAAAGGGAGAACCGTAGAAGCGATATATTCGTCTTGCCTATAATGGTGGGTAGGCAGGTAGACATGGCTGTCGAAGAAATCCAGGCAGTCGTCGTGATCATGTAATTGACGAAGCCATCGGGCTTTGCGAAGGCTCTTTCCGTCCTAGGCGATTTCGTCCATAACTGCTGCTCTTCTCTCTTTCAGATCTTTATGGCTTCTCTGCGTATCTTCGCAAGTTTGGACGTTTGTTGATGATTTTCTGCAGCTCGCGCGATCCCACGCCGGCGTATCAGCTCGAGAGACTTCGAAGAGAATCGCCTCTTGGCTACTTGTAGACTCCGCTGCTTTAGCACTATCGTGAAGATGTTCGACGAGCCGGTTGTACTCTGCATCGATGTTGTCGATAACGGAATCTTCCCTTTCACTTGCAAGGGAAGCGAAGTAATTCCATTTTATGGAGGGTTTGGGGCTTCGCTCGTAAACTTCATAGCTCTCTCTCCACGAACTGAGAAGCAGAATCTAGTGCGGATGGGGCGATTGTCCGATCTTGTGTAGAACTTGAGAACAACAGCGACATCAGTCAGGCAGAACCTCCGATTAAAGATGATGTGGTCTATTTCGTAATGGAACTGTTCACCAGGTGACGCCCATGTCCATCGCAAATGAGAGCGGAACTATGAATTACCAAGAATGGTGTGGGTTGACGTGATAAATCGGACAGCATTTCATCTTGCTCATTCCATCCCATTCAGTGAGTCCCGATGTGGAGCTCTTCAGCCGTTATGGGGCCAATCCTCGCGTTGAAATCACCGTCGATAATCTTGAAGAAAGTATGGTATTCTCTATATAGCAGGCGCCGTACAACTAACGCAAACGGTAACAATCCATATGAAGTCTGCGCGGAGAATTATTCTCCTTCCTTCCCCTTATCAGAAACGGCTGTAAATGTCAAATTCAAATCTTGCAAGGGAAGGATCCCAAGTTGAAGTGGCCATTTGAAATGAGACCTACACTGCTCGACGTATTTTTTGATTCTGACTTCGAACCTGCATTCAAAATCTGCCAAACGATTCTCTGAACGAAGCTATAGAGGTGGTCTCTAGAGAGCAAGCACAAAAGACATGGTCGCCTGCAGACTCGCAGTAGTGGCTTGGAGTGAAGTGAGCGTGACGCTTGGTAGGCATGGGACCGGGGATCGAGTTCGATGTGCGACGGCGTCTTTGCATTTTGCAGGACGTTTTCTCCAGGTTGCAAAAAATCTTTTATTAGGTTGTCGGAAAAGTATTTGCGCCTTTTGCAATTTTCTTTTGAATTTATTTTTTTCCTTCACAATAACAAACAATTAGCAAATATATACACCATCATTATCGA